CTGTTATTTTCTTTTTGTTTTACACTGAGTTTACGTTTAATTTCACCTGTGACGCTATAGGGCACGTTGAGAGCCAAAGCGGTTCACACATTGGCGGTTTTAGCTGTGAGTAGTCTTAGCCATTTCAAACGTCCACTGTAGAGTTGCCCCGGGTATGAATGTACGGTATGTACAGTCTTGATAAACAAGGCCAATGGAGGAGGAGGGGGGGAATAAAAGCAAAATGTATGATTACAATTATAGCAATAGCAGCAATGTGACTTTTGAAAAAAACTTTCTTGCTGATAGTCCCAACTAGCAGATACCTTCTTTTTTCATGAAAGGGCTGTATGACATGCATAACGCCATGCCGGGTAAGGTATTGCCTCAATTCAATTTTGTTCTGTTGCGTAGTTGGTAAAGGATGGAGATCAATGACCATTCCCGACTAAGTATCATTTTAAAGACTTTAATGCAGAGAAAAGAAATATAATTGACGACACAGACTTCATGATAATGTCCAGCAATAATTTGTTGTCAAAACCAATCACTAATTCTAAACTATACCGGATTTTATGCAAAAGGCAATTTGCTGGAACACACGATTGCGTTTTCGATTGCGGGGCCAGCTCGCTGTTGTGGTAAATTGACATGCGTCATCTGGGATTTGAACTCATGACTTGCGGTCACCATGATTTGCTGATGACTTGGTATATACAGACTTGACATTTAATATGGAATATTTCAGTTTCGAAGGTATGCCTAGGTAAAAATGCATTCTTTTTTCAAAAAACTCCGATCTCATATAAGATATGTGAATGGAGAAGTGTGAAGTCAGGTGCATCGCTTCCAATTAACTGAATACCAGGTTAGTTGCGCTGCTGCATTATGTAATATGCAGTGATTTAATTGGGTAGTGCTCCTTTGGGCAGGTCAAAGCTTGGCTTTGGCAAAGCATGGTTCTGTCAAAAAAGTATCCATATGTCGGCAACTACTGCATAGAAGAATTTGAAATTTTGCATGCAGGTGGTCGGTTTTGCAAGGTGTAAAATGAGCTATGCAGTGCTCTGCATATTTGTTTATCTGTGGCAGAATGGCGCGAAAAAGACAGACATTGCCAGACAGAAAATTGCGCCAAACGAAACGGTCCGCACAGTTTTATAGAGTAATGNTAATCAAACGCAAATTTTAGAAATGATTTCAAGAAAAAAAATAACAGTGATGATCTCAAGATTCGAACCCACGTCTAGCTGTGTATAGTCATGTTGAAGACAGTGGTGTTTTAACACACGGAACCACAGAAGCTTCGATGGTAGGGAATGGATCATATGGAAACTTTCTACTTTCTCACAGAGAGGGCCAGATGGACTGTTCATGTACTTGTATTAATCTGCCATAACGAGAGCCGTGCATATGTATTTCATACCGCAAATCGAAAGTCTGCAAACATGGTATTATTATCAATGTTGTTAAAGCTCATCATGTACTCGAGCACTTATTTGAAAAGCCGACACGGCTTGTTCCTAGATAGATTACGTCTTTTTTACTTTGACTATTAGTGCAATATTTTTAGAACCACCTCTAAATCCGCCACTGTATCGTATTTTTTAATATCTATCATTATTGAAGAATCCAATAATAAACGTTGCGTCCTCTGAATTATGCCATGCAATGATCTTCATTAAAAAATATTATTTTTTTGCGAGATTACAAATTGCACCAGTGTGTAATGTTTAGTTCCATTGCCTCGCTTTCAATAAATTAGAACTGACGCTAAAAACACGTAGTTGAAGTATTTCTTATATTGGGCGATTTCGCGCTTGAATGAGAATATCCTGGCAGCATTATCTGCACTTATCCTTCCTACAATTTTAAATGCATTACGCAATATCATTTTCAATCTGCCATACGAAGCATTTTATTTATCAAGTGTGTGCATGTGTGTGTGTGTGTGGGGGGGGGCCTTTGGGGCCACATATAACACAATAAATACAAGTGGAATCCCCTTAAAAAAAAGTAAAAATAAATGTTATTCTAAGGAAAGTCCGCGGGACTTACCTTTTAATACATACAATCAACAGAATATTTCCAATAGAATTCCTCACAACGACACCAAAAATACCATAAAGCCAACCAGACAGTAAACACCGACAGGCTTTGTCAATTTCACCAATTTGTTAATTTCAAACAGTGCACTTTCGAGCGCGCGCGGTCTTTGAATCCTGCGCTGCATAACGATTGTTTCCCCAGTGTGTGTGTGTGTGTGTGTGTGTGTGTGCGTGTGTGTGTGTGTGTGTCCTAAACTCAATATAGAGGTGCAATTGAGGTCACATGCACGCTCTTAAAAATATTTAGTGCACAGATTGCAAACTATGTTTGATTATTTCAGGGTCCCACAAGAAGAAGTTTGTATCAAAGTTTCACTGTCCGGGAACCATGAATAATAACAAATAATTCATCCTCAAATCATTTATCCTCAAAAACGAACATACCTCAAAAACGAACATACGTTACTGTCACAAATGCAAAACGTCCAGCTGTGAAACATTTAACTCATTTTGAAGATTCAATCATCACTGGCTTTGTTTTTTGATTTATCTCCTACGAGTATAACGCAGTGAAAAATTTATAATAATTTTCTGTATAGAGCAGTTAATTGTATTTGAGCGCCTTTAGTTTGCTTGTCACTGTATATTAAAAAAAAGCAAAAAACAAAACAAAACAACAACAAAAAAAAAAAAAAAAAAAAAAAACTGTTTTTTTTTGCATCAGGTAAGTAAAAAAAAAAAAAACTTTTGAAAATTTTTCTGGGAAAAAANCACTGTATATTAAAAAAAAAGCAAAAAACAAAACAAAACAACAACAACAACAAAAAAAAAAACTGTTTTCTATTGCATCAGGTACGTGAACAAAATGAAACTTTTTGACAATTTTTCTGGGGAACATACATTACATACTATTAGGCACGATGCAAAGCCCCTTGAGTTACAGTTTAAATATATGTATTTATAAAAAAACACACCCTTACGTCATGTAAGTCGTGTGAATGAATCACTACAAAATATATCGGAACGCGAATGAAATTAAAATTAAATGACCCGGTGTAACATGAAAATCTGACTCCCATGAAAATGTGACTCCCCAGTCAGATTTTCATTATGAAAATGTGACTCCCCAGTCAGATTTTCATAATGACAATGTGACTCCCCCCATGAAAATTTGACTCCCCCTCCACAAAACTTCATATATCTTATTTTATTTGAGTATATCACTATATGACTGTAATCGTGTAGTATGTGAAAGGAGGATAGATTGGCACATTTTTTTTTGTAGTTTGCAGTGAAAATTTTAATGAAAAAATAAGAAGATTAAAAATGAGCACATAATGAAAATCTGACTCCCCCATGAAAATTTGACTCCCCCATCATAAAACTTCATAAATCTTATTTTATTTTGAGTATATGTCTCTGATCTTGTAGAATGTAAAATGGAGGATACATTGGCACATTTTTTGTAGTTTGCAGTAAAAATTTTAATGAAAAAATAAGAAAATTAAAAATTTGCACATAATGAAAATCTGACTC